ACGCACTAGGCTTATTCAAGTTCTTATTTATGAGCTACTGACTGACTCGAAGCATTTTCATTTTGGCGATATCCAGGCTGGTTCACCTTTATCTCCCAAAAGCCTGGTAGTTTAACTTTCTAATACGGGTTAGTTTCGAAGTCTTTATTGTAACGGTAGCCTTCGCCGTATACAACTTGTGTCAGTATATCATTTGCGTTGATGGAAGGAAAGATAGTTTAAGTTTCATCCAATGAAATGAGAACTTCACAATACCAATGGATTTCACTGTTTTTCATTTTTTATAAGTAGGTTTTTGGGAGTACCAATAGATCATATATATGAAATGAATTCATCCTATTTCGTTTAAGATGATAAACTCTTGAAACTCTGCTTATATAAGAAAAATAAAGTGATTTGGTTAGTTCCAATCAATTGTCAACCTCGGGCATGTGAATATGTCTGTCTCTCTATGGGTATGTGGCTGAATATGTTCGTATATGTAAAAAGCAAGCAGTGATGGCTCAAAGTAATTGAAACAAAAAAGTAACATCTATTCCTAACTATCAAGGCTTAATTACCACTGTCACCTCCTCTCTATATATGTTTTATCCTTCACTCCAGTTGTGCAAGGTCGGACACTCGTCTTGTTATGTTGATGAACATTTTTGTCTTCATGTGAGAGAAGGAGTGGGCTAAAAGTACAGAGAGTCAACGTGCTTTGAACCAATAAAAGAAAATATGATTTAAGTCTCCTCCTTTTTAGCGTTAGCCAACATTATTTGCCTAAACCCTACTTCTATACGACAAATATGTAATTTAGTCGATTGTTATAGCAAAAATACGCGTGCTTCATCGACGATCCCACCAAATAATGTGATATGGGAAAAGGCCTGGCCTTCCTTAAAATTCACATCTGTCCTGTTACCCAAAGGCAATCGTGGTAATGTGACCGAGTGGTTAAAGTGTCAAGCTCATATGCTGCACTGTCACGGTTCGACTCCTGCTGGGGGTGTTGAAAAGACCTATGCGAGGTCGAAACTGCAGTCCACCCTGGTTGAGAACATCTTTTGGGACAGCAAGGCAATGTGAAATTAATTGGAAACGTCAGCTCTACCCTTTTCATTGTGGGAAAATTCCACTATAAGTCCTTCATTACCCTAAACTAAATAGGGTGAATAAATTTCATATAAGTGATTTAATGGTAGTCTTTAAACTCTACTTATGTACGAAAAATGACATTCTCTCTAATAATTAAGCATAAGTAGTCCTTACTTAGCTTCTTGTCGGTATTTCCTACATTTTTACTATTCCAAAGAGGATACGGAGTGTTTCGAAAATATAAACGCTTGCAATCTATAACTCAAAATTTGGATACCTTAAAACGAAGAGAAAAAAGGAAAAATATTGTTACCAATTATCCTATTTAAAAACAGCTGAAGATAGTATGGGGAGGGTGTCAATAGAAAGACAACCATTGAAAGGCGGAGCGAAATAGAGAATTCTACTCTCCGAGGGACACAGCGAAGGGACGAAAGAGAAGGAAAAAAGCATGGCCAACCTAAATAGCATGTTAGCTAGACCCGAAGACCAAGATGGTGTGGCCTTCTTTTTGGTCTCAGCCTCATTTAGCTTTATAGTGTTTCATCGTAAGCACAGAGTTACAAGTATGTTAGCTACTTAATATACCGTTGTGTAGTTTTCCTTGTCAACTTCGGATTGGACGATGCGGTGCCAAGCTTTAATTGGTTGACGGGAAATAGACAGTGAAGATTAGTCATACGCTCATGTGATCTCTGTGCTCAAGGGGGTTGAGCAATGACCACGGATGGGATGTAACAAAACTAGACATTGAACGGTGCACATTCAATGTATTGCTCCTCTAATTTTATGTTTAGCTGCAGACATACTATAATCAACAAAAGTATAAGTTTGAAACCATTCAATTTCATGTACAGTTTCTCTCTTGTGATCAGTTAGCTCTGATTTTTTACCCCAACAGCCTCTACAGGCGCTTTTGTGATCTGCCATCTTTCGTTGAATGGGATGACGCGTCTCTCCAGCATAAAAGCAACCGCATGAACACATTATGTTGTAGCAACCCGGTTTAGATAACGGGTTATCTTTCTCTTTAAAGGTCGGCATAACTGAAGAAAGTGTCATAGTTTCCCTGAAAATCATTTTTATTCCGCGCTTCCATACTTGTTCGTCTATCGTTTTTGAGATAAAGCACGAAGGCAAAGATAAAACATGGGAAAAAGTCTTCTTATCTCTCCTTAATTATTCGCCATACAAAAAGGTATTCTTCAGTAATCTAATGTTATTTTCAGTCAGACCTATGGATAATTATTCTCAATAAATATTAGTTTGAACCGATCCAGTTCATTATCGCATTTTGCTCTCTAGGCTAGTCTTATGCTCTGGATAATCATAGATTTTAAAAAACCAACCTTACATGATCATTAAAACATCCAAAAAGGTAAATTATTGTCTTTCTCTATCTCCATTGTCAACTTAACATCACAATCAATCTGCTAATTAAGAAGAATAAATTATCTCAACTATCCTTACATGCTGCTATATGGCAAAATAGTCATCCATATATCTAACTGTTTTGGTGTCCATCTCACCTCTTACATTAAGCGTCTCTCCAATCCTGACATGCAATTATTGGCTAAAATGTAAGCCAAACAAGATCTCATTAAGTTTATGTAAGCAAAAAAGAAATTTAGAAGTGGAAAATGAATTCACCTTTCCAAAGGGATGCTAGGGCACCTTCTGCTTACGGCCCTCCAAAAATACACAAGAAGGGTGTCCCTTTGAGATTGATTTTTAGCAATAAGGAATCTGTGATAGATTAGATTTCACGATTCTTGCGCAGATAATTAAGGAAAGTGGCTAAGTATTGAAAATATGACGTGAATAATTCGTATAAATTCGTTTTGATAACTCAACAGAATATTAGTGATGAGGACCGATTGGTGACTTTCGATTTAGTATCAATGCATAATAACTTCCAAGAAATTATTGAGGAAGCAAATCTGAGCAAGAGCTCAATCTTGAGGCTATTTAAGCTGTCCATTAGTAGTACACGCTTCACCTTTTATGGCAACCCTTAGAAACCGGTGCTAGGTCTAGTAATGGGATCTTGTTTGGCTCTCATTTTAGTGAATGGAGGAGGGCTTCATGGAATGACATTTTACGAAGGGACTTCTTCCACAAAATAAGTTTTTTTAAATGCGAATGTAAAGATACTTCACACATGCTTTGAAGCCCTGGAATTCAGAAGACACTTCTTCCTACATTTTCTGTTTATCTGGTTATGGCTGGGACTTTATATTCCAGACAGATCCGATTATTTGACCAACCTGACCCTACGCGGTCAAGGTCAGTTTAGCTGGAGGGTAGCAGGAGGGTAGCTGGAGCTAGCAGGCTTTTCTTATCCCTTTCGTATAAATCTGCACTTTTTCTATCCTGTTTGTTTCACCAGTCTTGATGCATTCCTCTAGCCTCACGTCTCAAGAGATTTGCACTTTCTCTCACCTGCAGACTTGTGGTCTAGCTTGCATTTTCACTCGATCAGGAGGTACGGTCTTGACTTTTCTGCCTTTCGTATCCTTTCCCAGAAGTGAATTATCATATTTTATTTTATTCACACATGTAAGCACTTGTACACCTGCCTGTGTTCGCCAATCATAGTTTCGCCGAGAGCGACTAGGAGCCATAAAGAAAGACGAGGACAACGAAGGTGGCAGCACTGCTGTTTCCCGTCTTCCGTTTTCGTGACCCCATCATGCATTGCATCTTCATCCTCCTCGCTACTGAAACTTTGCATGCCATGTCTTCTCTTAACTTGGTGCATTTGCCTGCTGCGCCTCACAGGCCTCTGAGTAAATGCCTCGAGAGAGGCTAAAGACGATTTATCCTACAAGTTTTATTTTTCTTTGAATATGCCGCAATCCTATTTCAACTCAAAATAATCGACGTATCCTCGACCACTTCACGAAAAACCTAAAGCCCCTGTAAAATTTTTGGCATATATTCCGATAACAACCAATCTGGACCTTCATTTAACAGATACATATAATTTTTGGTGCTTTACTTGGGGATGATACCTGGAATCCGTCCTTTCCGAGGCTCAGCATGGATTCAGGTCAATCCATGCAGTAGCATACCTACTGCATGCGTCCGGGCAACTTTCGAAGGAGGCCATCGAGCATCGGCTCTTGTTGAACCCAGACTTTACTAGATTTCTAGTCACTTTAGGTCGATTTTGCTGACAAAAGACCTGATAGTTGAGTCTCCCACAATAATTTTTTAGATAATAGAGTGTGTAACCTAGGCAAGCTTAGGGTTGCTCCTGTTTCTATAAAATACTATTTGCTATTTCAGAAATAGCAGGCTATCCGTCATCTTGGTACGTTGAATTTTATTTCGTTCGAAAATGTGTGGTAGTAAAAACATATTCGCGGGTCGATTTCGTCAAAATATGACGGTGAACTTCAAATTCTCTACAATCTTTCGATTTGAACATGACGATACAGTTGGTGCTCATGTACGGAACGTCTTTCGGTTATGGAAAAAAATGGGCTGTACTTTCTTCTGCAATGCCACTTGACAAGCATCCCCAGAGCTGTATCGCATTTGTGCCAAAATTTCAAACCAGCATTAAGTCATTAAGACTAGTCGATTCTTCTTTACATACTATACTGAAACTTGCTTACTCTCAGTGTTGAGTACTCATAGATGACATGAGTTTGCTCAGAAATCCTAGCTTTAGTGAAGTTTTGCGCTAGCAAATCGTGTTGTAATCCACCAAGGCCATGACTCTTTTTGTTGATTCATCAATTCTTAAGACAATGAAGAATTCTCATGAGAGACAACGATGCCCGCAATAATTCATATAAAGCCTAGTTAAGACCGCACACCACACCTTGTGCACAATAAATCATTGCATCTGGATCCATCAGGCTCCATCAATAGACAGACAAGATAAACTTCCATAGATTAGCTGGAAGATCACTTGCTCGGGCTATGGAGAGTAGCGTTCTTCTTTTAGTTTGGCTTCTTTATGCCATTTATGAGCCGTCGTCTCTATTCACAATAAGCTTGCTTTTCTGACCCGCCATTTTGGTTCATGTTAAGTCGTCATTAATTACCTCTGTTTTAACTATTACTAAAGCATGCTTGCATCCATGTAGGCAAACGAGTTTGTTTCTTTTTTGACTTCCTAATTGGCCTATAATGCAACACCATTTATCAATCACTTTATTCCTTCGTAATTCATTTCTAACTAAAAAAAGCTTGATTAGTATCGAGACCAATGAAGAATTGCGTCTCGATGAATTTTTCTTTTTTTGTATTTTCCTCGTTCCATTCAGCTTTTGGCGGCGAGTGAGACAGAAAAAAAGTTGATGGACCAGAAGGCTCGTCTCCTCACGATTTCCAATTCCCTCGAGTTTCCCGAAAATGTTAAGGTGAGTCGCATTTATCAGCCTTAGACTTAAATCACTTTTGAGCGTTTGACCTTTTCTTTGTATCATTTATTTTCCAAAATTCAGTGAGATAATTTCGCTTTCTTTTGTTATCTTCATAAATTTACTTCCTTCTCATAACTGTCTTATTTTGTGCTGGAGGGTATGATAGCTGAAACTTGTGGATTTCTTCCATATAAAGTAAATTTCGAAACTTTTCTGCTTGATATGTCTGTATCATTTATTGGAGCATGCTTCTTTACCTGCCTTGACATGTGGTTACATTCTCGATTCTTGTCATAGTCGATGTTTGGTAAAATAAAGTCCAAAGACTGATGCTCTAGAGTTCTTTTGGCGGGAAGGAAAGTCTTAATAGGCTCTCCTCTTTATTCGCTGAAGAGTACAATTCCGAACACTATAACTCATCAGATTGCTAATTATCTTACCCATCTCAATTATGTTATCATTCGTTTTATCTCTTTCATTAAAACCTTAACTTGTTGAGTTCACCTCCATTTATAGTGAAAGTTTGTGCAATTAAAGGCTTAGAAGGTACATCCAACAAGAAGACGATAACCAATTCTCCTTTGCCAGCTGCCGTTTATCTCCACTCGAACC